ATATATATATATATATATATATATATATAGTTACAAATTGCTGTAAAAAAAACCAGCCAAATTATGATAGTAACATACTGTTTTCCATTAAAACAGTAATATAGCGTAGAAAATAGTGCATTCTGGGTCATATTTGTCATTTTCGAGAAATGACAATATACCGTGAATTAACAGCACTCAAAGATGACACTCAGAGACTTTGTCCCAAATCACACCCTATACCCTCATTCACGATTCCCTACATGAGTGGACTAATATAGAACACCTGCTGTTAACAAGCAGATTCACTGAAGGAAAGAGACACAACAAGAACAGAACCAAGAGAAACACAAGAACACTAACTGACTTTGGCCACAGCCTTAGATGAAATCAACTGAAATAAAAGACATTAAATCTCTCAAGATCTCAACAGAGGATGATTAAACAACTCCATAAACAGCATTACCAGCTTCACGCATTACTAACCAGACTGACTTGATTTCTGTCAGACATCTACAGTAGTTCTTAGTGATAATTACAGAGGTTTCGATGATGATGTTTTACGGTTTTCTTTGAAGTTACCGTTGTGGAGATAAGTGTTTGCTTTAGTTGGGCTCCTGACCCTTGACTTTTGAACATTGTTTTTTTTTTTAAACAGCTGTAACTGCATTTAAGATACATAAAAAAACTGTTCATCTGATGATGTTCGCTATTTTAGTGGTCATGATCATGAACCCTAACCCTACTCTGCTGATTTACTGATCTCCTTCAGTGTCTAATTGTATGGGTGTTGATTTATATTTTTTGATTATGATATTCCAGTGATTCTACGGCATGAGAACCATGTCATTGTTGTGACAACCAGAAAATATGAAGGATTTAAAAACACTTTGTACTTAAAACATTATGAACTACAACATCATTGGAGACATCAATAATCAGCATATGAAGCTCAACAATGGTGACAATCAAAAGCTTCATGCCGCAATCAATGCATGCTAAGTACCAGCACAGTACACAACTCATCCATGACTCCCAGCATGCATTGTCATGAAGAAATTATGCTGCTGAATTGTCCAGTTATTTTTTTTAATTCTTACTATGCGCTTTTATTTTTGTGTTGAGTTTTAGTACTGCTTCTTAATTTGCTCTAGTATCACAGTGGTGGTAACATAAAAATTAAGGTGTGTTCCTATAATTTACTTTCGGTAAGGGAAGAGACACTGAATAAGATCAGTAATTCAGCCATTACATGATGATTATGCCATCAACAAAACATAACCAACAATGCCAGATTTATTTTTTTCTGCTCTTTTTTGCCACAACAAATGTGATTTAAAAACACAGTTACAGCAACCAAAGAAAAGTTAATATTAAAAAGTCAAGGGTAAGAGCCCAACGAAAGCAAACACTGATCACCATCATGGTAGTGTCAAATAAAACAATAAAACATCAACATCTAAGCCTCTGTTAACTCTCAATAAGCGCTTCTGTAGACGTCTGACAGAAATCAAGTCAATCTGGTTAGTAATGCGTGAAGCTGGTAATGCTGTTCGTGGAGTTGTTTAATCATCCTCTGCTGAGATCTCGAGAGATTTAATGTATTTTATTTCAGTTGATTTCATCTAAGGCTGAAAGTCAGTTGTAGTTCTTGTGTTTCTCTTTCCTTCAGTGATTCTGTTTGTTAACAGCAGGTGTTCATCACACACACACACACAGAATTATTATATAAAACTGAGGATTTTGCAGTGTGGTTTAAAGGGTTAAAGCTTCAAGATGAAAAAAACAGAATAATTAATTAAATTAGCGTAATTAAAACTGCAACAAACTGTAGAAAAACAGTAATATGCTGGCAACCGTGCTGCCAGTAGATTACCGTATTTATGTGTTTTTGCACAAGAGAGATCTGTTAGTTTAATTTAGTGTTGTGGGTCAACAAGAGTAGAGCCTGTGCATAAGTCAGTGATGAGCCCAGAAACACTGATGTTCTGCTGCATGTTGCTTTATTTAAAGGCAGTAACAAATTAAGGTGTGTTCCTATAATTTACTTTCGGTAAGGGAAGAGACACTGAATAAGATCAGTGATTCAGGCATTACATGATGATTATGCCATTAACAAAACATAACAAACAATACCAGATTTATTTTTCTCTGCTCTTTTTTGCCACAACAAATGTGATTTAAAAACACGGTTACAGCAACCAAAGAAAAATTAATATTAAAAAGTCAAGGGTAAGAGCCCAACAAAAGCAAACACTGATCACCATCATGGTAGTGTCAAATAAAACAATAAAACATCAACATCTAAGCCTCTGTTAACTCTCAATAAGCGCTTCTGTAGACGTCTGACAGAAATCAAGTCAATCTGGTTAGTAATGCGTGAAGCTGGTAATGCTGTTCGTGGAGTTGTTTAATCATCCTCTGCTGAGATCTCGAGAGATTTAATGTATTTTATTTCAGTTGATTTCATCTAAGGCTGAAAGTCAGTTGTAGTTCTTGTGTTTCTCTTTCCTTCAGTGATTCTGTTTGTTAACAGCAGGTGTTCATCACACACACACACACAGAATTATTATATAAAACTGAGGATTTTGCAGTGTGGTTTAAAGGGTTAAAGCTTCAAGATGAAAAAAACAGAATAATTAATTAAATTAGCGTAATTAAAACTGCAACAAACTGTAGAAAAACAGTAATATGCTGGCAACCGTGCTGCCAGTAGATTACCGTATTTATGTGTTTTTGCACAAGAGAGATCTGTTAGTTTAATTTAGTGTTGTGGGTCAACAAGAGTAGAGCCTGTGCATAAGTCAGTGATGAGCCCAGAAACACTGATGTTCTGCTGCATGTTGCTTTATTTAAAGGCAGTAACTGTGGAGTTGCTGATGCAGTGATGATCTCTTTCATTTGAGATTTGAGTAAAAGTCATGCTCTGATTATTTCACTATTACACATTAAGTGTTTGCGGTTTTATATTAAGAAACGTTCCTTTTTAGTGGACTCAAATAAAATAAGTTCACAGTACTAACACCGTATAAATACTAGTTTTTAAACTCGAATGGTTTGAAGCAATCGGTTTCCCAAATGAAATGAGTCACCTTACATGGTATTATTATGGTAACCTACTGTAAAAATGGTAGGATTAAAAAAAGGTAAATTAACGGTAGGGAGTTGTAAATTAACAGTAGAATGCTGGCAACCACAGCTGCCAATATTTTACAGCACAATTTTTTTTACAGTGATATAATGTTAATATATTTATAATATATATTATGTATAACACTGGTAATTCTGACTCGTAAGCAATATATTATACAATTAAAGGTTACATTTAATGTTAATGTGTAAATAATATCTTACATCTAATACTTGTAATTTTGATAGAATTTTGATGTGTATAAATGCTTGTACATTTGATAGAATGATCATATATATTATTAATATATTATATAAATATAATATAAATGCTTGTAATTTTTATAGAATTATCAAACATATTATCAAAATATTATACAATTAAAGACTACATGAACTGTTAATATAATAATAATAATAATCATATTATTTATTATTATTACTATTATTATTCGCGCGCGCACACACACACACACACACACACACACACACACAAATGCTTGTTATTTCGATAAAATCATCCAAGATATTATCAATATAATATATAATTGTAATAATAATAATCATAATATCATTTAATTTAATGGTTGTGTATATATAAACATTAAATTAAATTACAACATTAAACAAACTATAAAACATTAAGTAAATAAATTTTTAAGTCAATAATAAGCAAATTAGTGACACTGACCATGTGAAATCAATGTTTTTACATGCAGCTTAAGTGTTGCTCTTATTAAATAAAGGAGGAAATAATCAAATACTGTGACAATGAGATTTGTGCTAATTTTATTCACTTAATTGTTTATGCTGATAATATAATTTATTAATTTGTATTAATTTGAAATCACATTAAATTGCAAAACAGAGCATTTTTACAAGTGGTCTCAGACTTTTGGATTCTATTGTATCTACCTGCCACTTTACATCTATAATATGTCCTGTATAACAACAAAAAGGTCAGTTCAAGAAAATATATTAATCTAAAAGTACAATTTTCAAACATGAAACTTAGCAATTCTTAAATGATTAAACTTACTTTGCAGTGACATCACCACTGTCCAGCCTTAATTCAACCTGTGATGAAACATGGAGAAAAGTCTTAGACTGCATAGAGAACAAGAGGGATGCACTATGAATGCAGTGATCTGCAATGTGAAGTGACAGCATGCACCAGTTTAGAGGGAAAAGCACCACTGGGACTTAAAAATAGTGAGCAGGCAATGCTATTTATAAAACTACTGCATAGAACGATTGCACAAATCATAGCAGCTTCCCCAAAGTGGAATTTCAATGCTTCATTTGTAGTTCACAGTCTGAGCAGGGCAACTTGATGGGACCTACAGTTTACAGTATATATTCTCAAGGACTGAGGGTCTCAAGAGTCTGTTTTTAATACCTGCCTCGTTCATGTTCATAGCACAGACCACAGGCAGAGATATGACTGGAGGTGAGGACCGTTCAAGAGGCATGATGAATAAAGATGACACCTTCATCTGAACCCACTTCAGGAGCAAAGACAGCTCTGAGCCATGAAATTAAGTGGTATGCTGTAAAAAAACTTTCTGTAAAATTTACAGTAAAAAAAACGGCCGCTGTGGTTGCAGGAATTTTACCGTAAAAAATACGGTAGCAACGTTTTAGGTTTTACGGTTTTAATTTAAATTTACAGTTAAATATCGTAATTTCATTAACTGATATAATGTTAATATACCAACCTATTGAAGTACTGAAATCTTTTTTGTACCTTTGTAATACACTGATAACCACCAAATGCAGGTGGTGATGAGAAAGTCACATGATGAACCAAAGCCCATCACAAGCAGCTTTTAAATAATAAGGTGCACAGTGTCATTCACACAAACACTAAACACCATAAAAGTTACACACATGAAACTGAAATAATGCAATTAACATTCATTTAACAACATTAGGTGTGACACACAACCCTAATATACAAAACTGAAAGGAAAAAACTAAGAAGAAACATTCAACAAAAAAAACATCAAATTTTAAATGTAACGCAGGGAATTCTGGGAATGTCAATTTACGGTTATTCACTGTAAATTATACGGTCTACTGTATAAAAACGTATACTACTGTAAAATTAATGTCCAATACATGTAATGTCCAGTTTTTCACCATATATAGCAGGGGAATTTACCGTTAACCATTTAACAGGTTTTTACTGTAGCATTTTTACAGTCTTTTACCGTTAAATTCACGATAATTTTTTACAGTGTAGAGAACACTCCATATGGAATCGACATGGAAAAATCATGAATGACACGTTCACAAGAATGTCACCATCCTTGCAAACAAATAGTGAGAAAAGTTCTGTATTCATGCATTTACAATATTTTATTTCTCATCAAATCTGAACCTCAACTATTCGAACCAGGAGGGTTTGAGCCCCCATTTAAAGCTGCAATCCATCATATTGCATTTACTATTTAATTATAATATTTATTAAAGCATGTAGTTTACATGAATAACACTGAAAATAACTGTGATAAGTGATTAAAAATGTATAGTGATTATTAATAAATAAATTTTTTATTAAAATAAAAATATTAAAATAAAATCTGTTGTTTAATTATAATAGTTACTATTAAATTGTATAGTTTTTACATTAATAACACCAAAATGAACAGCAATTATATAATTAAAAATGTATAACAACAATTATAAAAGAACGAAATTGCTTGTCATGCGTAGCAGTTGCTTTCTTTAGAGCCCCACATAAAATACCACTAAACGTAATGCATTATTGAAGGCATTATATAGTTTTAGCAGCAGTTACAATTCATTGGCTTTTATGACAACTTCTTGACCTTTATAAAACGGTGTGATAGAAAGAACATTTCGATTTCCGACTGCCAATATCTTCAAATCCTAATGCACAAAAATAACTCTAGGTACAATTAGATGCTCTCTCTCGTATTAGTGATGCAGAAACGAAGACAAGGAGCTGAATTTTAATAAGAATATAGAAACACTTGCAAGAGCGTATCATCAAAAAGTGAAACAAGAAAAGACCATTTCTTTCATAAAAGCAGTGACTAATCCATTTTACCTCTTTGAACTACTTCCTTATGGTACCACATCTTACAAGATCTTATTTTTTCCTTTTTTTTTTCCGTTTCCTTCTATTGTTGTGATTTAAATGGAATCCAGCTTAAAAAGGAGCCTGTTTAGTATTCTCTCCTATATCTTGCTCTTGCCCTTTTCTTGTCTTCAGCTTCTCTTAATAAAACATTCAAGTATGTGTACAGTTTGCCGCTGTCCCTCAGTTTCATACGGCATATGGGGATTTGCTAACTGCTGTTATGACACCACGTGCCCTGCATTTTCCACACTCATTAATCACATCAACATACAAAACCACACACACACTGAGTCCGCCTGGTCAACTGTAGTTAGATTCGACACTCAAGTAGTCAAAAAAACACACCTTAAAACTGATGAAAAGAGGAAGATATCTTAAAATAATGAGCAGCCACGACACTGGAAAAGCCTAGTAGGCATTAAATACCCAATAATTATGCATGCACTGATTAATTTAAAAAAAAATGTTTTCTGGGTTAACAAGGCTTAAGGCGATGTGTGCATCGTGTCTTCCTTATTCCACTGAATTTTACATCAAATTACCATGTTTAATAGGCACAGTTCATCCAAAAATTAAAAGGTTGATATGAAGGTTGTACATCGTTGATTACGAAAGGTTGTACTGTACAATGACTTAAATTTCCTAAAAAAAAAAAAAAGTTTCAGAAGACTTTAAAGGAATAGCTTACCCAAAAATGAAAATTTGCAGAAAATGTATTCACACTCAGGCCATGCAACATGTAGATGAGTTTGTTTCTTCATCTGAACTGATTTAGAGAAATTTAGCATTACATCACTTACTCAACAATGGATCAATGAATGGGTGCCGTCAGAATAAGAGTCCAAACAGCTGATAAAAACATCACAATAATCCACAAGTAATGTACACGACTCCAGTCCATCAGTTAATTTCATGAGAAGCGAAAGCAACAAAACAAATGCATCATCAAGGTGTTTTTCTATTGGTGAGCAAGTGATGTAATGCTAAATTTCTCCATATCTCTTCCGATGAAGAAACAAACTCATCTGCATCTCGGATGGCCTGAGGATGAGTACATTTTCTGCAAATTTTCACTTTGGGGTGAACTATTCCTATACAAAAAAGCTGCATGAACATTCTTCAAAACATCTCTTTTTGTGTTCCACAAAATAAAAATTAAACAGAAAGTCATCCGGTTTGGATCAACATGAGGGTGAGTAAAGGATGACAGAATTGACAGAAACTATTCCTATAATACCTTGTTAACGAATGCAGACAGAATTCTGTGAGCTTTGAGTATTTATAGCTACTAGCACATGTGATCAGGATGGCAGCGCCGAAGAAGAAAATTATACTTGAGTGCTTTCATCTCAAAAATGAGATGTCGCATACAGGGTCCCAACTATGGTTTCAAATTCAGGGATATGAGCAAAAATGCTCTCCAACTCACTCAAAACCATCCTAATCAGAACACAGTGACATTTCATTTCTAAAGGCTCCTGGCCAGGCTCAAACTTTTCATTTAGAGTTGAGTGACGCATATTTTGTGAATATGCATATAGAGTGACTTTACAGGCATGTCTGTGTCAAGAGTAAATTAAAGTAAAAAAGCATATCTATTGAAAATCATTGAGAAAAGCTGCTGGACAGTAATTTATTAGTGACAGCAGAGTAATTTCAGAGTAATTTGCATGAGAGCTTAATTTGCATGAGTGCTGATTTCATTCAAAATGACATGGTCTGGACAAATTCCTGACATCAAATCTTGAAGAAGACTAACCAATTTAAAGGTGATGTGTGTAATCTTTTTGCCACTACACTCAAAAAAAAAATGCTGGGTTGTTTCAACCCAACTTTGGGTCAAATATGGACTAACCCAACCGTTGGGTTAAATTTTTACATTACATTTTTGACCCAAAAGTTGGGTTAGTCCATATTTGACCCAAAGTTGGGTTGAAACAACCCAGCAAAATTCCCCAAACTAAAGCAGTTGACAGTCAGGATGCTCAAAACAAACAAAACAATGAAAAATTATGTATTACACATTATGACTTTTATATACAGCTTTTTCCAACATGAGAATTGCAAAAAAAGCTTTAAAGCTTTAAAGGCCTGCAGTTTTTCTACCAAAATAAAAACTAAATCAAAGAAATTAAGATTTAAGCCACAAAAAATTAAGCCACAAATATTAGTATTCTATTTTTTTCCTGTAAATTAATATTATTATTATTAAATACTATATGTCTTTATTGATTTAATTTTAATTATTTAAAATAATAATAATAAAAGAAATATATTACTATTGCAATAATAATATATTAATACTGTAAAATAAAAAGTATTCTTATTATTGTTATTGTTGAAAAAATAGTAATGGTAATATATTTCTTTACAGATTTAATTAATTAATTATTTAAAATAATAATAATAATATCATACAATTATTATTATTATTATTATTATTATTATTAGGCAGATCACATGCCTGATTACTAAACATAAATGGATTGTCTCTGCATATATAGTATTTTAACAAAAAATACAAATAAAATAAAATGTTATTAAATAAAATAAAAATTTTAAAAAGGAAAAAAATTATAAAGTAAGCTTTAAACAGAATGTGAGACAACGTTTTCTCTGGATGTGAGGGACAGACTGCAGTGGAAAGGTCTAAAATAAAGAAAGGAAGTGTCTATTTTTTGACCATTGTCCTGAAGAAGGCCAAGGTCTGTCCGAGTCAATGTAATATATCTCTTTCTCCACAACTTCCTGCAGAAGACAACACCTCTGATGATGATTAATGCTTTGAGAAGGTCTCAGTCTGTTTTTTTCATCAGACACTACCTGTTTACACTGTCGCCATTGTTCTGGAGTTACAATAGCTGCCTGTGATCCTGACACGCACACACACACACACACACACACACACACACACACACACACACACCAGATAAACCTAAGGGTCTTTGCTGTATTTAGGACACTTGAC